TTGTGAAGTACTGTTTTAGTTCCCAAAGTACACGAAGCCTACAATGTAGCTGTCATAAATATTTTTTTTGAGATGAGCTTCCTTTAGGCATGCATATAAAGATCTGAGTACAATCTGGAAATACTCAACAATACATCTTAAATAGGTGTTTTTTAAAACAGATACTTAAAACAAGACTTTGTATTGATCTGCTGATGAAATGTGATGTTTTGTCACTGAACAAAAACAACAAAGCCATGAAAGTAGTTAATGAATGTACTCAAAATGAACATCTTCTCTTAAAATACACATTGTAAAGAAAATTAACTGAACCACAACGAGAAAATATTTGCAAAAACATTTACCTGATTAAGGACTGTTTCTCAAATGTGTAAGGAAATCTCAAAAGTCAATAATAGGGCCCTCCCTGGTGGCAAGGCAGGTTAAAGCACAGCACTGAGAAGCTAAAGTACAGCACTGAGAAACTAAGGCCACTTCAGCATGAGTTCGATCCCTGCCCCAGAGGTGACCCACATGGTGCAGCAGACCTCTCCTGACCTGCCCACTGCTCCCCTCAGCAGTGTACTTCGTCAGTCGGCCTGTTCTGCTCCCTACTCTGTCTGAAGAATCCTCTTACCGCCCCTGCACTTCTGGCCTGCACCCCAGTTCTATATGCATAAATAAATAAATAAATCTTAAAAAAAACTCACTAAAAATTAAAACAACAACAAACCCCAGTAAAAATGGGGTTAAGCTTTGCACAGACAGTTCACAAAAAAAGAGATATGCACAACAAATAAGTACATGAAAGATGGCCAAGAGCCACCATCCGCCCCAATAAAATAAATCCTGGTTTGTTCTCCATCAAGCTCATCTCTACTGTACAAATCCCTAAAAGATCAGCCAGTATCATCTCCTTTATTTTCTACTGTAATTACTGCAATCCCCTTTCTATCTCCATTTCTTTTCTAAAATTTCTCGCAGAGAAGACTGACTATTGTGAAGACCAACACTTGCTTTTACTTCTTACCTACTCAACCTCTGACCATTTGACAGTAGTCATACTCCTTCTTATATCTCTTCTTCCTGTCCTCTGGTCAGCATTTTCTGACCCATTCCCTTCCAGTCTGTGGATGTTCTTTCTGAGTTCTGGCATGCTGAAATCTTCTAAATTTAGATGTCCACTCAAATTTCTTTCTCAAGCTTTTCAATGTCTACAACAGCCCACCAAGCAGGTCTCTGTGCACAAGTGGGGATATCATTTAATATCGCTAAAACTAAGTCTCTGCATTTTGCTCAGCTGAACAAAGCTGGGAGACACGAAATAGATAAGGGGAACCAGTAAGGTTGCCATGGAAACCTAGTGTGGGTCCACATGATCAATGTGGTCTATCAAGAATCCAGGCAAACACACCCCAGCAGGACACCTCCTATGTGCAAGACCCACCTAAACCTGAAGTCCCTGCATAAACCTGAGGTCCCTGCAGATAGCAACTAGCAGAGACAGACTCCCCCAGTCATGAAAAAAAACAAGGAAACAAGTAATAAAGGAGACCCCCAAATATTTCCTTGGGGCAGATAACCTCTTCTGTCCCGCCCACTGCTTCTCTTACTTAGCAGTGTTTTCCAATAAAAACGCCTTTTCTGTTCCTCAATCTGTCTCTGGTGAATTCTTTTACCTCTGTGTCTCTGGTCTCACCCTGGCATTTCTCCCCACCTCAGCACATGCTATAAGCCTTTTAAAACAGACATGCCCAGAATCAAATACATTACTTCCCTGTCAGTGCCTGCTTTTGTGTGTCATTATCTACCAGGTCAGCAAAAATAGCCATCAAAGTCAGTCTTTGTGTTCCTAAACCCTTAACTCCCCACACAGTAGGTTCAGGGTACAACTCCAGGGGTCACCATTCCTTTATTGCTTACAAAAGCCATTCCATTCTGCCTCAACAAAGCTTTCAGTTCTGTTTCTTCCTTCCAGTTCTTACTGCTTTTGTTTTGTTTTAGGCCCTCCTAGTATTTGATTTTCAATAGCTTCCCAACTGGGCTCTTTCTCATCAATCAATTTTCCACACAATAATTATAATTATCTTTTTAAAATCCAATCTGATTGTGTGATTGCCTAACAACCTTTGAGGTCTCTTAAATGACTTCAAGATAAAGGTTAAACTGCTTAGCAGGAATACAAAACCCATTACATTCTGCCACTGACCTAATAAACTCTATTGCCCTCAATCTGAAAAAAAAAAAAACTTGTCAATTACAAAACATCAATATTACCTATATTGGCCTTCCCTGGTGGTGCAATGGGTTAGGACACAGCATTGCAAACTGGCCGCAGCCGCTTCAATGCCAGTTTGATCCCCCACCTCGGAGGTGACCCACATGGTGTGGCAACCCTTTTCTGACCCGCCCACTGCTCCCCTCAGCAGTGTACTTCATCGATCTGCCTGTTCTGCTCCCCACTCTGTCTCTGGTAAAGCCTCTCACTTCCCCTGCACCTCTGACTTGTGTCCCAGTTCTGTATGAATAAATAAATCTTTAAAAAAATGTTACCTATATTACATTATTTTCTTTATGTGAAATATTTCCCACATCATCTTCACAACCTGAAAATTTGTTATTAATCATTAAAACCCATTGACAGCCATTACTTCTGAGTGGACTGCAAAGATACTCTTACTCAGATATCTCAGTGGTTCTCAACACTGACAGCCCATTATAATCACATGAAGGGCTTTTTAAAAAAAAAATACAGATGTCCAGCCTCTACTCACAGAAATTCTGATTTATTGTCTAGCATGACTCTCAGCGTAGGTTGATTTAAAATATTCTGCCAGAGAATCTAAAATGCTTAAAATATAAAAATTGAAACAACTTCAAGTTTTATTGTACAGGAGACAATAATTCATTGTTATTTACAATAGAAAAAAGTACATTAAGTGATAATTTATGCACTAGAACAAATAGAGGAGAGAGGAAGAAAAGACATGTCAAGAAAGGGTCTTGGTGATACCTATTATAAATCAACCAAAGAGCTGTAACTTTTCTTTTGTTCACAGAATCCTACAAATCTGTGAGCAGTAATTCAAAGCAACTAATTTGTAATTTAATCACTGTAAACATTACAAAGGTGCTATTCTATAATTAATCACCATTAATCTTTAATGTCCAGAACAATTTCTGACACAGGCCAAATGTTCAAAACTGCTTGTTAAAACAAATGAATGGGGACCCTCCCTGGTGGCACAACAGGTTAAAGCACAGTACCATGAAGCTATCCCAGCCACTGCTATACAAGTTTGATCCCCGGTCAGGGCTGTGACCCACATGGCATGGCAGACCTCTCCTGGCCTGCCTACTGCTACCCTCAGCAGTGTATTTTGATACATATGCTTATTCTGCTCCACACTCAATCTCTGGCCTGTATCCCAGTTCTGTATGCATAAATAAATAAATCTTTTTTAAAAATATGTGAAGCCTTGGGTTTAGAAAAAAAAAAAGGTCAACAATAGCATTTATACTTTCTTAAGACAGATTTATAATTATTGTCAATGTTGGTTGCAAATTAAAATGAATACTCTATTTTTGATAATTAAAGCATGCATATGTGTTCTACTTCTTGGATGAGGTAATTTTAGATTACATTGAGGAAAAAAGTACTGACAAAATAGCTCATTTTCAGTAATTTGGGTTTTCCCAAATGGTGACATAAGAGCCAGTCATTCTGAATTGGACAGTTTGAGTTCCTCAAACTGAAATGTAGGTCAGAGCTTTGCTGACATTTCCATTTGCCTTATTGCTGAAAATCTGAAGTGATCATTGACAGGCAAGCTTCTGAGAAAGAAGACATGATGCAGGTGACAAAGTGTAGCACCCTGACTCTGAAGTGAAATTATGTCCTTCATACAAGCTGGAAGGTAAAAATACAATTATCATCCAAATACTTGAAAACAGCTATCATTTCTTTTGGAACAGATGTGCCAAGTTATTTTCTCATGTATGTTTTTGTGATATTTCATATAGTGATTTCTGATGAAAGCTAAATCTATATAATATTGTCTGAAGTCACATATTTTAAATAACAACTACATATATTCTATTAGGTGAGTAGTTAACTTCTAACTAGAAATATATGAGGCCCTATTTTGCCTATTATAAGAAGAAGATTTTTTTGTCGCTGAAGGATTATTGAAGGGATCCGTATATTCACAAATCATGGGGACGCAGGTTCTTAAAATGTTGCCAGATACTTTATGCTACTTGATGAGGTTTGTTTTAGTGTTGCTTTACATGAAAGGCTCAGGTTTTATTAAATGTAAAAATAATTGAATAATGTTTATTATTGAATAACTAAACTATTCAGTAATGTAAGTAACCAGTTAAGGGGATAATTCCAACTATAATCTAAGGGCAATGTTGTTTGGAATCTTTATACTGTGTCTCTCTATTTCTACAAACAAAAGTTTAACTGGCAGCAACACATATGCCTCTGTCAAACTTCATGTCTTTTCATTTTGAATGCTTTTCCTTTTCATGTTCTGAAATTTATTACTTTTTTCCAAGTTTTTCTTATCAAAAACATATTTCTAAGTAGGCCAAGAAAAGAATTCATCATTAAGTGTTGACCAAAAGAAGAGTTTTCTGATGTATAGACTACCAGATTAATTGGAACTACATTTATCAAGAGTCAGAATATTCTAGTAAGGTAATTCATAGTGACTTTTGAGAATATAAAATCCCATTCCTTGGCTTTACTCCTTTACTTTTATTATATACTAGCCATGCTGCTTTCCTTCCTTGGTAGTACATTATTTTTCTTCCTATCTTCCTTCTTTTTCTCCTTCCCTTCTTCTTTCTTGTTCTTTCAATCAAAGGTTCTTAATAAACAAATAACTTCTAAGGAAACCAGTGATTAAATTAATATTTTTTGTTATTTTACTGATATTTCATCAAAATATTACAATTTAAGTATTTTCATATTTTTTTCCAGAGGGGCCAAAAGTTTTTTCCTGCTTTCAGGCATGAATCAAGTCATGATTCAATGGGATGTGGTAATAGCATTTTATATATTCTTCAATTGGTGTCATGGAGGTATAGTATTTTAAATATCTATCTCTTTTATTCCTCAAACAAAATATTGAGTATTCATTAATTTCAAGGTACTATATTAAAGTCTCTGGAGAATAAAAATTATTAGTTTGGGAAAATTACAAGCACACAAAAATTATATGGAATGAAATAAATAAGTCCGGTCTCCCTCTTAATTCAGGATTCCTTTCTCCAACATCCCTAGTAGATAAATCTCTAATTTCTATATGAACAGAGCAAGGAGCTTTTTACTTTGAGTTGGCATGTTCTAGCTTGGAACTATTATTACTTTTCTGTAATAGCCCATAAAACAATTGGATTTAATTTATTCTCATAAGCAATTTGGTGGTAACTATGCATTGGACACTATGCTAAGTCTTCTATTCCTCACAAAAACTTGGTACAGTAGTATCATGACCTATTGTTATCCCATCTTATTATTCACACAAATGTCTGCTGACAGAAACACATATCAGCAGCTTTGAGGAATCCAGGGATAGAATCTACTCAGGCAGGGGGATCACAGGGACTCCAGGGCAAATTTTTATATTTTGAAGGAAGATCTGAAGGTGATACAAGTTATTCAGAATAGTGACAAAAACAAAACCATCTTCTATTAAGTTGGGACATAATTATGTTAAAGACACAGAGGTAACCCTTTCAGCAGCACAAAAGACAGACACTTCCATAGTCAAACCAACAAATTTAGGACAAATAAGAAATGAATGACTTATATCAACTTCTTGATAAATGTCAACGATAAGAAGGACTCCTTTTCCTACATTCAATTGATTAATACAAAATATAGAGAAATAAGATAAGCTCCTATGATATGATACTAAAGACCATCAGCTGTCCAGCTTAATAATATTGCTCAATCTGATATAAATATTTTAATATCATCTAGACTACATATTCCCAAGTTTTCTACTACAATGTTATGTCATCATCCCTTTTAATGGCTTTGCAGAAATAAAAATATGCTATTTTTCTCCTGATTAAATTCCTATTAAAGAAAAATTAAGATATTTTGACATATTTCTTATATAATCTATGATTTTTACTAGCACTGGTGAAGTCAGTGAAAATTTTTTACTTTTTCTTGTAATTTATTCTTAAATATTTTGAAGCTCAGTAATCCAGAGTTTCCTTTACTTGTTTTGAAAACCAAATCTTAATCTTTTGATATTTTTTATTAATGAGAAAACACTACTCACAATTCTTCCATGACAGATGCAGTTCTCTAAATTTATTTAAAACAGCAAAATGCTTTCCTAAAATTTCCTTTTCATGCTTTTAGCTTTAATATCCTATTGATAATGATGGAATTATTTTTTATCATTACTTCTGTGTTTAAATTTCAATTATATTTCTATTATAAAAAAGAAGTTTATTATTTACGTTTTGTATTTCAAAGGTAAGGACCTTTTAAGGTTAACTACTAACCTTTTATACAACTGTTTTGATATTACTTTAAGATATTTCAATACAGGTATTATCAGAAAAATTCTTATATATAAATTAGACAGAACATTTAGTACGTTTTCCTTGACACGAATTAAATTTCATTAAGATTGCATTGATTTTGACTTGAGATTTTGAGAAAGGCTTTAAATTATTGATGTTTTTGGTGATTAAAGTAATATATTCAAATATAGCTTTGAAAAAATACTTACACAAGAAGAAAGAAAATATTCTAACACACAGAAATTATCATTGCTAATACCTTAGTGAATTTATCTTTAATTTGCCCATTTGTTGTTAACACTGAGCTTTTATGCAATGTTTGGCAATTTGCTTTTTAACTTAATAATATATTCTGAATATTTTCCCAATTTACTAAGTTAGGGATTAATTTTAAGTGATTACCAAACAGTAGATTTTTGACATTAGTAAGAGTATGAGTTTATTCATTAAACTCAAAACTTTCTGATAAATACAGCCTTTATCGACAAAAGACTGTATGCTTGATTATATTAAAAGAATGCATTTGTATTCTTCAGTGAAAAGTATTATTTCTAATCTTGCCTTTGAAAAATGGTGTAACCTCATAATGCTTCAGTTCTCATTTTAAAATAGGAAAGTTAATTGTCTTTGCTCTTTAGCGAGAGAAGGTTTAGACAGAGAAGCAAGTCTTGTGTCATACTGCCGAACATCAACAGAAGCATGTTAAAATCAAAATGAAATAAGTGAAAAGATAATATTCTAAAGCCTTGTCCAATGGAAATCACTTGAAGAAAAGAACAAAATTTAAAATGAATACCATATAATTCTGAATCTCTGATTTTAATGTTTACATGAAATTTATTGTTTTATCTCTCTGTTTCCAGGGCTTACAAATATAAACTGTTCAGGTCATTTATGGGTAGAACCAGCCACAATTTTTAAGATGGGTTTGAATATCTCTATATATTGCCAAGCAGTGATTAAGAACTGCCAACCAACAAATTTTAATTTTTATAAAAATTACACCAAAGAAATATTTCAGATCACAAGAATTAATAAAACAACAGCTCGACTTTCGTATGACAACTTTCTGGAACCACATGCCTCTATGTACTGCACTGTTAAATGTCCTGAGCATGCTAAAGAAACACTGATATGTGGAAAAGACATTTATTCTGGATGTAAGTATTGGGGTACATTAGAAATCCAAATGAAAGCTAGTTTAACAATCAAGTGATAATTACCAATCTTGTCTAAAAATAAAAGCAAATTGAGTTAGCTCATTTCTTATATTAGTTTAATATAGGAATTACAAATTTGTGTAAGGTATCAAGTTGGTGAAATATAAAAGTTAAGGAAGTTGGTGGTATCTGTGCAGAGAGGAAAACACAAAAGTGGTCTACTGGGAGTTGTCACCATCCACCCTGAATATTTATAAGGGCCCAGTATTCCTGAAGCTTTTGATTCTCAAAAGAACCAAAAATATGAATTTTTAATGTTAATAATGCAAAATTTTCAATGTTGCTCATACACCCAAAAAACAATTGTTCTGCACTAGCCTGAATAAATAAGGCATACATAAAGGGCGGTATCCTCAGATTTTAAGTGTTGTTTTGTTCATCTGTTTTTACTTGTTTTTATGTTTATCAAGTGAGTATCATCAACCTGGTAGCAGATCCCATTGAGAAATTCAGAGGCTAAGCTTTAGAAAGAAAAATCAGTTGCAAAACTAGCTTTATATTCCTGATGCATTTTTTTTAACTAGATATGTAACCTTGAGCAAGTTGATTAACCAATCTGAGCCTCATGTCTGTAATATGGGGCCAATTAAGCCAGCTGTGGTAATTCCCAATTTTTTTAAGTATATGAGGAATTTTAAAATACAACACCAATGTGCCTAAATCCTAAAAACAAAGAAACAAAAATGCATAATTTCAACAAAGCATGAAGAGATTCTGAGACAATTGCTTGGCCTTAATCCCACTGCTTCAATTGTGAATCACTGCATTTGTTATTGTAATTATTAAGAAAAATAATATGGTTAATGAAATTTTAAGGTCAATGAAGATATGCTACATTCAATTTGTACTCATAGTATTCTCAAGATGTTTAAGTTATTATAGCAATCTAGGCAGATTTGGACAATCATATATCTACTTCTTGATACTATTAATATGAGATATAAATTGATAAATTAGGCATGTTCTATCAGATTTATTCCCTGTGGCATCTGGACCATTTTCATGCTCCCTTCCTCCAAAGTTTGCCATTCAAATTCAGATTCTTTTTTCTCACTTCCCCTTCTCAGTTAGTATGGGTGACCTGCCCACCACCACCTGACTCCCAGAGTAGATTCCTGAAAGTAGGAAGCTTCCTACTAAACTTAGGCCAGTGTCCTACTTAAATCTGGGCACCTCACATTGCATGATCAGAAACAAGAAGAGCTATAGGAGGAGCTAAAGGTAAATTGAGGAAACATAGTATTATGTGTTGGAGTCAAAGAATAAAAATTGAACACTACTCCTTCAACTGATAACATAATAAAGTTGCCCTAAATTGTGGGGAATGAAACCACAAGTAGACATTTATCTGGGTTATGAAAACTCCTTAGTCCATCCACATCCTCAGGAAACATAAAAACCCATTTCCTTTTTTTTTACCCTGTGAGGGTACAGATGGAGGGTGTTGATAAAATAAGTAGCTTCTTTGAGGCAATTAAGCAAATTTGACAGTCATGGGGAAAAGTTAATGTTTAATTCAAGCCAAAAGAAAAAAGGAGGCAAAAGGAGTCCTCCATCCCCAGCTGCAGGTAGGGTGATTGGTTAATTGCACCAGTTCTCCCAACACTGGCTGTGGCCTCTCCTCCCAAACAACCACCAGGCAGTTATATAAGGGATCTTTTCTAGAACAACAAATAAGTGACACTTGCATTCTCTGCTGATCACTGCTTAGCAAAGAACATCACTTTTTCCATTTACTGCCTCTCTGAGCTAGAACTACTTAATAGACCTCTAAGTTTGAGACTGAAATTGTAACAGCTGGTAGAACTTTACCAAACCCCTGGATTCTATTTTTTAGTCATAATCTTGAACACTTCTTAGACTCCTATCTGTGATTAAATGCACACATATTATGGGAAGTTTGTTCTGAGTCTTACCAATCATGGGATAAAATGTGATATGTTGTCTTTATTCACTTAAAAATGTGAAATTAAAATAAACAATACATAAAAAGTCATGTTCCCATTTAAACCTTTACTTTAAAGTTAAATATATTTGACTTACATTTTAACCACCTCTGATCTCTATTTATTGTAGTAGAAGTAGACTTATTATCCAGTAAAAACCCCCAAATATTCCTCTTAAGCATTGCTGCAAGGCATAATTAGGTTGATCTGTGACCCTCTTGGATATGGCTTTACCAGAAGTATTACACTTCAGTTTCATTTTTTTCATTATCATTCACTTATCAAGTCAATTAACTCATAAAGCAAACTTTACTGAGTGGATGCTATGCTCCAAAAGTGCATTAAATTCTAGAAACTTAATGAGAAAATAACGACTGTGTTTTCGAGAAGTAGTCAGTAGAAAATTATCTGTGGGCAGGACTCTAAATTAACAAACAACCTGGCTTTGATAAATGACTGTACCAATAATAGGAGTAGGTTGGGGTTTGTAGGAAAGAACAAAATTTAATCTCACCCTTGTATTTTTCAATATATACTCTAGAATCTAAAACTTCTAAAAGGAAGTTTTTATCCTTGGATATTGAATAACCTGGCAATGAGACCTAACAACAATCCAGTCTTATTCTCATAACCATGCTTACATTCCCATTTTTACATAGCTTCACTTTAACAACAGTGTTTATTTACATGTGTGTATATAATCTATTTGATCGTTTGCAAGACATTTACTTCATATAGAATGCTATATAACCCAAGATTAACAGCTGACCTTTATGATTGTCAAGCCAATGATACTCTATCTGAAATCACAAGGGGAGATAACATCAGCACAAATCACTGTAATCAATATCCAACATGACTTAAATCAATATCCAACATGACTTAAATTTATGTTTCCACATCTAACTCCTATAAAACTAAAGCAAAACATCCAGATTTCTTTTACCCTACAGGAGACCAGTCTTTCTCTGTGTAATTCAATACTACAACTCACCAAAATATTTCAGTGTTCTTAACTACATGAAAATAGTTTTTTAATTATAAAATAAAATTATACTCATTTGTTGAAGTATTATTTAAAACTTTAGACAAGCCAAAAATAAATATACATCATTTTTATAGTTCTATAATCTCACCACTAACAGAATCCCTCTAATAATTTTGAATATATCTTAAACAAGTTTCTTTCTTTCACTCTGTCTACTCTAACTTCTTTTACTTCTTTCCCTGCTCACCCTTCTCTCTCTCTTTCAGTCTGACTCGAATAACAACTATTATACTATACTATTTAGCAACCCACATTTTTCATTTTGTTATATGGTGACCACTTAATAGATTAAATATATTGGGAGGCCAGATATTTAAATCATCTTCAGTCCAGATAATTAAGTTGTCTTCTACAACTTAATTTTGAGATGCATTTTAACAGTATATTAAGTTTATTTAAACTTATATTGGGATATCAAGTTTGTTTCCAAGATTTTAATTATTATGAACAATATTTTAAGGCACATCCTTTTAATAAAAATTTTGTGCATATCAACAAACATTTTATTAAGAAAACATTCCTAGATGTAAAATTGCTGGATTGTAAGCTATTATTATTACTATTACTAATACTATTACTATTACTTCCACTTTCAAAGACTGATATGCCAAATATTCTCCATAAGGTTATTACCAATTTGCCTTTCTACCCGCAGAGTTTTAGAGGACTTCCCTAAATTCATTCCAATACAACAGAGTAAGACTTTTCAAAATCCTTGCCAACTTGATAGGTCTAAGTGATATCTACTATTGTTTCAATTTGTATTTTTATGTTTATTTTTAAATATATTTTTTGTTTTGCATGTAATATTATTGGTAAATGATTTGTAGGTTAAGTGCAGAAGTATATTTGTATCTAAGATAAAATCTTTGGCTGTTAATTCAGGTGCATAAATGCCTATTTTTTTATTCTTTATGAGTCTTCATTATTCCATTTGTCTCATTCATCTTTGAATAGTCTAGTTTCCCAGAAAATATTGCATATATATAGGGACAAACTGAGAAAATGACACCTGAAAAGTATAGGTATGATCAATACTCAATGTTTCCATATTTCTTTTTTTTAAATCTTGATCTTAGTAATTTATTATAGGATGATGAAACTGAAAATTCCAGATGCTGTTCTATACTGGTGGGGTTTCATAGACTTAAGAATCCTCAAAGGCTCAAACAATATTTTAAGAACTCTTTCATCTTTTCCCATTTCTTGGGTTTTGTTTTCCCCTGTATTGGCTTCATTCTTAAATACTGTTTCAGTATGACAGTAAGATGGCCACCAGCAATTTGCAGCTTACATGTTTCCCAGACAGCAACTTCTGAAAGGAACACCTTTTTTCATGTTGAGGCCACAAAAAGTTCCTTGCACAATTCTGATTAGCTCATATTGAGTTACATGTTTATTCTCAAGGGAAATAGCTAGTCAGCCTTGCTCAAGGGCACAATTCTGTGTGGAGTATAGTGACTTGAGGTAGGGATGGAGTGGGATGAGATGAGAGAGTAGGGGAAACAACAGTTTTCTAAAGGGAAAGATAGCATACAAAAGTCCATAATAAAATGTTCCCCATAATATGATGTTCTCCAAATATGGCCACTCTAAGGAAGAAACTGGGGGAGAAGTGAGGAAAAGGAGAGATTCTGTGAATATTCAATACTTCTCATCTTTTTTTTGTATTGTGATAAAATATATATAACATAAAATGTACCATTTTGATCATTCTTAAGTGGCATTCACATTAATATGTAATTATCAGCACTATCCATCTTTATAACTCTTCATCATGTAAAATTAAAACTCTGTACCCACTTAGTAGCAACACACATTCCTATCTCCCAAAGCCCCTAGCAACACTATACCTTCTATCTCTCCACATCTGACTATTATGAATGCCTTATATAAGTGAAATCATTCAGTATTTGTCTTTTGTATCTGACTTACTCTACTTAACATAAAGTCTTTAAGATTCAAACTTGTAGCATGTGTGAGAATTCCCTTTTGTTTTAAAGCTGAATAACACTCCAGTGACTGCATGAAAACCAAAATTTTAAGATGAGTAATGGAGTAGGTGCCAGGGAAGGAGAGAATCTATCAGAGCAGTAGGAAAACAGTTTCACAGACACCAACAAACACAGAGGTTTCTAGGAAAGAATGACCAAAATATCAAATGCGACAAAAATCAAACTCAGTGGTGACTGCAAAGAGATCCTGGGATTTGTTGAATAAAAAGTCACTAATGAGGCCCTCCCTGGTGGCGCAGTGGGTTAAAGCGCTGCACTAGGAAGCTTAAGCCACTTCCACATGAGTTCGATCCCCACCTGCCCTGGAGGTGACCACATGGCATGGCAGACCTCTCCTGACCCGCCCGCAGCTCCCCTTAGCAGTGTACTTCGTTGATCTGCCTATTCTGCTCCTCACTCTATCTCTGGTGAATCCTCTCACCCTCCGCATCTCTGGCCTGTACCCCAGTTCTGTATGAATAAATAAATAAATCTTAAATTTTTTTTTAAAAGTCATTAATGATCTTAAGAAGGGTAATGGTAAAACTGTTTAGGAAAACTTGATTGTTTGGGGTTCAAGAGTAAATGGGAGTTGGAGAAAAGACTAGGATAATGGGTTTTTTAAAAAAGTTTAACTGGGGCCCTCCCTGGTGGTGCAATGGGTTAAAGCACTGCACCATGAGGCTATCACAACCACTGCAGCACGAATTGGAACCCAGCCAGGGTGGTGACCCACAAGGTGTGGCAGACCTCTCCCAACCTGCCCACTCATCCCCTCAACAGTGTATTTCAGTACACCTGCCTGTTCTGTTCCCCCCTCTGTCTCTGGTGAATCCTCTCACGTGCCCCCCAACACGTCTGGCCTGTACCCCAGTTCTGTATACATATATAAATAAATCTTTTTTTAAAAAAAAACAGTTTAACTGTTAGGAAAAGGAGAAAGATACAGTAATAGCTGACTGGAGAAAATTTGGGAAGGGATTTTTTTTAATATAAGAATTTGAGAATACCCACACAAAACCAGAGAATATTGTAAAGTATGTGAATAAGAGAAATACTTGATGGCAAAGTAGTTCACAAGGTGAGGTGGTGGGGATAAAATAAGGGAGGTATTAAGTAAGGGTTGATTGGTCTGGTTTAAATAAAATAGAAAATATATTTGTTTGATGGCTCTCTTGCTGCAGATCCACCAGATGTTCCAGACAATGTAACCTGCGTTATTAATGAATATTCAGACAATGTGATTTGCACTTGGAATACTGGGAAGCCCACGTACATAGACACAAAGTATGTGGTCTATGTGAAAAGGTAAGTTCCCTCCCTAACACTTTAATTTGAGCAATTCCATTCTAGTTCAGAGTAGTCTATCTTTAGCTGAGATCCAAGATATCAGTCTGAAACACTAAATATACTTTGATTATCCCCAACTCCCTAATTATGATCCATGAAGCCACCAAAGTCCTTTATGGTATACTAATAGTTTCATTCAGTGCAGTGATGTGTTCTGTAATCTTCCTGTTCTCTTTATTCACTGGCCGATAACTGGTGCCAGGAGTGTAACAGTGATGTAGCACTACTATACAGGTTCAAAAACTACTTTTGTTTAATCCCAATTGTAATCACTTTTTAGGGTTTAGGAAATTATTCAGTTTCTCCAACTGTCATTTCTTTAATCTTGACAGAGGCTTTTTTGATTTGTTCTTATGTCAAAACCTTATTTGGAAGAGGAAAGTAATATAAAGTCGTAAGAGCTAATCACTTACAGGGTATCATAAAATAAAAAGTTTATCTGCACTATTTTCTTAGTGCTGCGCCACCAGGGAGGACCATATCTGCACTATTTTCAAGTAACACAGTATTTTTGAACAGCTGACTCTGTAGAAAGAGATGCTATATGTGTTTAACAAGTCAGACTAATTTTTCTAGCTGTTGCATATATCAACAGTAAATTCATTCTTTCAGTCAAATTAGAATGTAAACTCAATGTGGGCTAGAATTTTTGTTTGTTTGATTCACTGCTCTACCACTTGAGGCACAGTAGACCTCTCGCATCTCACCCACTGCTCCCCGTACCCCAGTTCTTGTATGTATAAGTAAATAAATTTAAAGAACTTTATAATATTTTAAATGTTCAAGTGATTATCATCATCATAAACATAAATGTTCTCCCCTAGTGAATTTTAAAAAAATGAGTTACTTTGGACATAAATTGGAAAAAGGAAATAAACATCTGTTCATCTTATAGTTAATTAAAAGCACACCTATGAGCTTAAAAACAGTAAAGAAGCCAATTTTTCCAAATGTCCAAATGTCTTTCCCTCCAGGAAAAAGCTGATTTTATCATTAATTTTGTGGCTGAGGTAGTAAATATCAGGTTTAAAAAAGTTTTTCTAGATCCTGGGTTACTAGGGTGTTTTCCACTTTGGCAGGCTGGCAGAGATTGGCATTTGCAAGGTTTCACTTCCAACTCATGTGGTTTTGTTTTCCAGTAAAATCATATGCATAGAGAGGCTTTTTACCTCAGCCCACCCACTTGTCTCACAGTGGTGGAAAGGTGGTATAGGGGACACAAGGCCTCCTTCCGGTGTGGGCTAAAGTTGTAAACTTTGTCTGCATTGCTTCAAGTGTTTTCTTTTGAGAAAACCGAGGTAAAGAAATTGAAAGTTGGTAGGATGAGTTGCCCCAAGTCCTGTTGGAACAGATGGATTGAATCATGGACTGCTGAGTCTTGTCCAAACAAGTCACCCACCACGCTGACCATGAGGCATCAGGCTCAACTAAAGGTGTTAGATCCTGACTAATGATCACCTCACAATTTCCTGGCGGGAGAAAGCTGAGAGTTCACATGCCAGTTGGAATGTAACTGGTCTGCACAAGCCCAGGACAGTCCAGCCCAGAACAAGCTGCTTTCTTGCACCCCACCTCACAGACCTACCTTTTAAGTATCTCCCCTTAATTCCCTTCAACGAGCCAGGTTATTATAGTCTCCATTCTTAAACTGGTTCCCTCATGTATGAGTCTAATAAAGACTTGATGCTCTCTGGTGAATTCTCTCCCTAGAGAGAAGACCCACTCTGCAACACTTGTTCTGGGTATCTTTGTGTTAGCCACAATAGCAGAGCTGCATAACCAGTCACATATGCTCATCTGCTCCTTTGTATTTTACTGATATCAAAGAGAAGTGATGGGAGGGAAAATGAACCTCTGCATATTAGCACCTACTCTGTTGTCCCCTTAGCCTCAACAGCTTCATGTAAATACACTCTTTTCTATTTTTATCTTGAAGCTCTTGTAATGTCTGGCAAAGGATCTTCTACTACTATTTATATGTCAAATGAAAAGAAATTTGTGGTGGCCCTTCATTCTATTCAAGTAAATTGAGCAAATATTTATTTAGTATTTGATGTGGGCTTGGCATCTTATTAAATACTAGAGATTATTTTTAATGCACAGTATCTTTGTGAATGAAAAGCTCATAATTTTTTTACAATAACACAGTCATCATGAAAAATCAATAAGGTAATTAATTCTAAAGGAGATTAACAATTTCGACTCCTTAAAATCAATTGCCTAATCTGCCAATTCAATAGCCATATCTTCTTCTCTACATGCATGTTCCCAATAGCCATAAAGAATTCTTAGATATAATCCCCCAATTTTTTTGAGAGTCTAATGTTATGTTTCAGTATTTCTTTTAGGATTTAATAAGAGGTATATATCTTAAAATCCATGCCCTCACTGATTCCCTATCTGAAGAGGTAATTGTTCGGGAGTCAGACACATAAACCTAATGACTAGTGTTATATTATTTTCATAACTGCTAACCTCAGCTGAACCCAGAGAGTAACCCAGCTGTCCTACATTTCACTGACTAAGTAAATTCCCCAGTAAGTCAGATAATTATTTCATTACTCTCATTTCTGATCTCAGCATCTTCTTCCTCTCTTCACTCTCTATTAGATGAGCTGCTTCCTATTTCACTGAGAAAATAAGAGTAATGGGAAATACCACAACAACCATCACCTTTCTTACCTAGTAACACAATGACATCTGTACCCATATATCTGGCCTTCCTGTCTATGGCTGTGTATAAGCTACAACCACACTCAGGCCTACTGGTGGAGTTCAAACTTGTGAAACAGTTATTACCCCTCCAGCCTACTAAAAGACAACTGTCCTCTTTCTTTGTCATCATCTTTTCCATCTTTACTGGCACTTACCCATTATACTAGAAATGGCTCTGTTTTGCTGTTGGTCATTACAAATGCCAATGAGGAAAGACAAGAATTAATTCTGTCAGCACTTTTATTTTTCAGATTGCTGACAAGCAATCTGAGAGAATAGTGGGTATAACACCCTGAAGAAATCATCTCCAGCTGGCTTTTGTATAATGCATTCTTCTCTCTTTAATCGAGTTCAGTCAATGTTTTATCCTCTAGTAAAATAAATCTAATCGGCAATAACTAATGACTTTCCCACTGCTAAAATAGGCCAAATTCAGCCTTTTGGCTTCCAGGATACAATTTTGGTTCTCTCCTTCCTTTTGGTTCTTTCTTACCTTTCCAGGTATGTGTTACTCAGTCTCTTCTTATGGATTTCTTTTCACTTTCAGTAAAATAACATTGTTCCAGAGCTCTGCCCTAGGATCTCTTATTATCTGTATCTGTACTCATCCAAAATGGCCAATAAAAATTATGACATAGGGCCCTCCCTGGCGGTGCAGCGGGTTAAAGCACTGCACTAAGAAGCTTAAGCTACTTCCGCATGAGTTCGAGCCTGCCCCGGAGAAGATCCACATGTCGCGGCAGACCTCTCCTGACAGGCCCGCTGCTCCCCTCAGCAGTGTACTTCGTCGATCTGCTGTTCTGCTCCCCACTCTGTCTCTGGTGAAGCCTCTCACTCTCCGCATCTCTGGCCTGTACCCCAATTCTGTATAAATAAATAAATCTTTAAAAAAAAAAAAAATTTCGATCTGCCTGTTCTGCTACCCACTCTGTCTCTGGTGAAGCCTCTCACTCTCTGCATCTCTGGCCTGTACCCCAGTTCTGTATAAATAAATAAATCTTTAAAAAAAAACTAAAAAAAAAATTATGACATAATACTCCCTAATTTATATCTCAAATCCGGCTATCTTCCCTGAACTACAGCTACCACCTAACGTCTTCTCCAACATTTCCCTTAGACCTACAAAATGAATCTAAAATCTAACATCTTATTAAAAAACAAATTCATCCAAATAAATTTTGCTGTCTTTATTAGATTCATGCATCAGGCAGGGATTTTACAGTAAAAAAAAAAATGCAATGAGGTTACTATCAAAAGAAAATAAATATTATTTCAGTCAAAGCTACCTTCCCTTACAGGAAGGCAGAAGGTTCTTATCTTGCAGATTGCCTTAATACTGCTGATCAGAAAACTCCAGATTGATTGATCTAGAATTTTACTTGGGAGAAGCTGAAACTTCAGTTAAATTAGGTGTTTACTCTCTGTAGGGCCTGGCATCATCTACTCCATTTTGGATCTGTTGTTCTTTTTTTATTTTTTTTAAAGATTTATTTATTTATGCATACAGAACTGGGGTACAGGCCAGAGGTGTGTGTGGGGGTGGTGGTGAGAGGACCCACCAGAGACAGAGTGGGAAGCAGAATAGGTGAATGGATGAAGTACATTGCTGAGGGGAACAGTGGGCAAGTGAGAAGAGGTCTGCTCCCATGTGGGTCACCTCAGGGCAAGGATCAAACTCGCAATGAAATGGCTATGACAAGCTTTGCAGTGCTGCGTCCTAACCCATTGTACCACAAGGGAGGGCCCTGTTGTTCTTTTTTATAGCAATTTAAAATCCAGACTCTCTCCTCAGGCTTGCATTCTCCACCTCTGCAAATGGTAATTCCATCTTCACTTGATTTAGGTCTAAGTCATTGGAGTCTTTATTGTTTCCTCTCTGTCATACTCTCACCCAACAAATAATCAATATCTATTAGATGTATCTTTAAACACATGACCTTTTCTCACCACCTATACTGAAATAATACTGGTCCCAACCACATCATATCTCATCTGGGTCAGTACAATTTCCTAATTACAGCCCTACCCTCAACCTTTGCCTTGACATGAGCCATTATTCACAAGAAACCATAGTGATCCTTTTCATATATACCTCAAATCATGTCACTTTCCTGCTCAAAATTTCCCATTTCAGAGATCAAAGCCTTCTGTGACCTTATAATACCTTTTATGTCTCTCCCTCCTTCAGACCTCTGTGATTTCATCTCTAATCCCTTTCCATCTCCATCATTCTATTGAATCCTTATTGGCCTTGCAGGTCTTTGAACAGAGCAAGTGGTTAATAATTGCAAACCTCAGGTCTTCTGTGACAACTAGAATGTTATTCTTGCAGAGATACCCAAGACCTAATCCTTTATTATGTTAATGTCACCTTCTCAGATAGTTTTTTCACATAGTCCAAAAAAATAAATAAAAGTGCTCTCATGTCTACTTTTAGTACTTTTTAAGTCTTCTTAAAACAACAACAAAAAAAAAAAACAAAAAAGAGCAATTATATTTTTTCCACCAAAATGTGTACTCCACAAAGATTGGGACTCTGCTTTGTTCATTGTTATAACCCCAGTGTCTACAGTAATGCTTGGAATATAGTGGGTGTTAACTAAATATTTACTGAATGAATGATTAAATAAATAAAAGGCACTATCACCACTATCAGCATAAATCAACAGTTTATGAAAATTATTAGCTAAACTAGAGCTAGGTGTTTGAAATACAAATGATGCTGACATATCAAAATATAGTGTGCTGTGTATTAATTAGCACACAAAAAAAGAAATAAGACATTCAAAAACATTTTAATATATAGTTCCACATAAAAATAGTTCTAAGGTGTAGTCAATCATTGTACTGAATTCATCTAAAATAGTACTTTGTGTCTTCATGCTAATATGAAGGTAGACTTTAATTTAAAAGCAGAATTAAATCACCTAGTTTAGTAACTATGGCTAATATCAGTTTGAGAATATAGTTCCATTTTGACATATGCTCTCAATATGTGTGTAAAAATACTAGCCACAAACCAATTAAGAACATTATGTGGTTTTCTCTAACTGGAAAATATTAAAAGATGCCCTACTTTGTACTTACAATAGTTGTAATTTTAAAATTTTTCACCTTTGAATTCTTACTTAACATGAGGTTAACATACTTTATAACGATTCTCTTTAGTTCCTTTGTGTTCCCTCTTATTTCAGAAAGAATATAAAGCGACTATAAAAACACTGGAATGTAATGGCATTGAGTGTAGATAGAAGCAATATAACATAAATTTAACTTACTCAAATATGACAATTCAAGTTTCATTTGTAAAAGCCTTGGCATAAATACCTTTTAATCCATAATAATTGTTACTTAATGAGCTCTGTATTATTTTTGAAGGCAGCTAGCTTCCTCCTTTTTTCTCATTTACTCACTTATTAACTCATGAGAACAACAAAGTTATTATTGCTAGTTTACCGATGCCTAACTAGTACATGGGCTTCAGTACAGCAGCTGGCTCTAACTTCTAAAATTTGTCAAGGGCCAGAGCTATAATTTGAACGTAGGTCTAGCTCAAATCCTAAGGTGTTTTTCATCACCACCTCTCGAGGTGCTCCCAGTGATCTCCCTGCTGGTGTGAGATAAAAGGTAGCACCAGAAATATGCAGTGAGACTTAAAATCTGACATATTCAAGAGTAGCAGATGCCTCCTGTATGTTAGGTAGCCCCATCACACCCTGCCCTGCACCCACCACCATTCTCTGCCTTGGAGAGATTCCTTGCTTGCCTCCTGAGATTATCCCACTTTAGTAATGACAGTAAATTTAAAATACAGTCAAAATTTCTGTGAAAATTTGACTCATGAATGCATTTATTTATTGCTTGGTAATGTAAAGTTGGTTTCTTTTTTTCCCTCCTGGATATCTGTTTTGTTTTGTTTTGTTTTTCCTGGAGTCTGTGTCTCAACAAACATATCACTATGGACTCCAGCATATCTAAGTACCTGGCAAATTATAATACTGGCAGGGATATTATGGGTTGAAAAATTTGGTACTTGTTGAATAGACATAATAAATTTCGTGAAGAGAGGCAGATGCTTAGGGAAGAAATGCCAATGATTTTTAAGTTCTTCCTTCTCCACACATTTTATTATATTAGTACAGAGTAGGGACAGAGAGTAGTTGGTGGTATTAGAGAAAGAAAACAAACTGGTGTGTTATTTTATGTCATTATTCACAAACTGGTGTTTGCCTCAGCGGCACATATGGTATCACTGGAACAGTGCAGAGGACCTGGCAAGTCACCGGTCAAGGCTGGTAGTCAAATCTGTGAAGCATTTCCAGTCATTAAATATAAGAATGCGGGCCCTCCTTGGTGACACAACAGGTTAGGACTCAGCACTGCAAGCTAGCCGCAGCCACTTCAGTACCAGTTCCATTCCCAGCCCTGGCATGGCAGACCTCTCCTGACCTGCCCGCTGCTCCCCTCGGCAGTGTACTTCCAAAATCAGCCTGTACTCTGTCTCTGGTGAAGCCTCTCAGTGCCCCTGCACCTTTGGCCTATACCCCTGTTCTGTATGCGTAAGTAAATAAATCTATAAAAAATAAATATATAATATAAATATAAGAATGTAAGGAACTTCTTTTCACTACTGTTCAAATTCCAAGGTAATTTCTTTTCTAAATTAACATATTATGAAGCTAACTTTTATAATGAACCATAATTAACTTAGGAATCTGTAAAAGTAATATATCAAACAAATAGTAAAGAGAATCTAGACCATAGTCATAGCTATCAGAACAGAGAGGAAATAAAAATAAGAAAATAATATTTTTAAATGTTTAACCCTTTTTGGTTGGCTCTTAGAGTGAAGAAAAGAAAGTTGTTAAAAATGGTTTACTGAGGAGATCAGAAGTGCAGCACACAGTTGACAACAGAGATATGCTGACTTGTATGGAATAATCAGTTAGCTGAAAATGTGCTATGGTTTTGTTCACTGTCAGAACCCAAAGGAAACACCCAAAAAGAGCAAGAATGTGGAACAGGGCCTCCCTGGAGGCCTAGGGATTAACAACTTGAGTTTAATTCCTGTCCAGGGAGCTGACCCACATTTGGTGCTGCAGATCTCTTCTGTTTCCTCAGGAGTGTATTTCAGTAAATTCACCTGTTCTACTCCTCACTCTGTATCTGGTGAATCCTCTTACTCTTGTTCCCCCACCTCTGGCCTACACACCAAATCTACTATATGCAAAAAAAAAAAAAAAAAAGGAACAGTGATTGAAGTCAAGAAAGTGAAAGTGAATGAAACAAGGTAAGAAGCAGAGAGAAAAGACAAGTGTTGATGGCTGACCCTTCATGAGGCTGGCTAAGAGGAGATGGGAGAAGGGAGTGGGCCCTTCCCTTGGAAAGGACGTCATTTTAGAAAAGTAGTTTTATGGGAGAAATGAAGGCAAAAGTCAAATGAAAATGAACTAATGGAAATGTTACATTGGAAGTAATTACCGAGGATGCAGATTTAGAAACCTAAGAAAAGGAAATAAAGAGTTGGTATTTGAAAGGGTTCATGAAATGTGAACTTAGCAAAATTGAGTGGAATACATTCATGCTATGAATGGATCTAATTATATTGTAGATAATAGTATTTTAGAGTCTGAGGGGGCCCAATTTCTGTAGGTTTCCCTCAGGAGTTCTTAACAAACTGAAAGCAGAGTCTTCAGCTGAAAATCAAAATACTAAAACATTCACATTTTAATTAAGATATAATTTTTGAATATTTAAAATATATTTTTTAAAGATTGACTTATTTATGCATACAGAACTGGGGTAAAGGCCAGATATGCAGGGGGCTGTATTAGAACAAGGGGTCCTAGTGCCTAGGACCTATGAAGCTCATACTGTGACCTTGGATAATCTTGAATACCTTTTTTTTTTTTTTTTAAAAAAGAATTAATTAGTGCAACAAAAAAAACAGAATACAGGCCAGAGACTCAGGGGTGGTGAAAGACTTCACCAGAGACAGAGTGGGGAGCAGAACAGGCAGATCCAGGAAGTACACTGCTGAGGGGAGCAGCGGGCGGGTCAGGAGAGGTCTGCCACGCCATGTGGTCACCTCCAGGGCAGGTGGGAATCGAACTCATGCGGAAGTGGTTTCAGCTTCTTAGTGCAGTGCTTTAACCTGCTGTGCCACCAGGGAGGGCCTTGAATACCTTTTTAAATATTTTTAAAATCAAAACAATTGGGCCCTCCCTGGTGGTGCAGCGGGTTAAAGCACAGCACTGAGAATCTAAAGCCGCTTCTGCATGAGTTCAATTCCCGCCTGCCCCGGAGGTGACCACATGGTGTGAAAGACCTCTCCTGACTCATCCGCTGCTCCCCTCAGCAGTGTACTTCGTCGATCTGCCTGTTCTGTTCCCCACTCTGTCTCTGGTGAAGCCTCTCGCCGCCCCTGAGCCTCTGGCCTGTAGCCCAGTTCTGTATGCACAAATAAATAAATCTTTAAAAAAATCAAAACAATTTTAGTTAATTTTTTAGTAACACAGTTCATTATTAAAATAGTCTAAAAAAGTAGCTTAAAAATTAAGGAATAATTAATTCAAACAAAACACAATGGGTGTTTTTTTTTTTTTTTTTTTTTTGTAGCTTAGAGACAGAGGAAGAGCAACACTATTTTACCTCAAGTTACATTAACATCTCCACTGATTCATTACAAGGTGGAAGGAAATATTTGGTTTGGGTCCAAGCTTCAAATGTACTGGGTACGGAGAAGTCAAAACAACTGCAAATTCACCTGGATGACATAGGTAAAGACTAATAAAATCTATATCTTTACAAATAAGCAAATAGTTACATTAATCTTGTCAAATTAAGTCAAGCTTTCAGAAGATTCCCCTAAAGTTCCTGCAGATCATAATAAAGAAAAAAATTACCCATACTTGAGACAACTCAGAATAATATTGCTACCATTTTGCTGTATATCTTTCCAGGCTTACTTCTACATGGGTGTCTGTGTTTTTACAAATACTTGTTGAGAGCTTCTTACATTCAAGCACTGCTATGAGGTAAAGGGGAATTAAGAGATAGGTACCTATGCCCTAAATATCTTGCAGTCTACTAGGACTTGGCAAAGAAATTGAGATTATAATAAAGCATGATGAGGAAGGTTGTCAGAAGTACAGCATACTAAGAATTCTATTGTAAACACTGTTTTTAAGTTATGTTTTTTTTGCTTTTATTTTGAAGTTTTACAAAATGCATAGAAAACTGAGGAGCATTATTTAAACATGTTATGTTAACCTACCAAATATAATAAATATTAACATTTTTGTTTCAGATTCTTAGGCCATGTATTTTTAAACTTAAAATATACAATTAAGATTTCTATTAATTTAGTCTACAATACTATTTTTTCAAAGATTTATTTATTTATGCATACAGAACTGGGGTATAGGCCAGAGGTGCAGGAGTGGTGAGAGGTCACCAGACACAAAGTGGGGAGCAGAACAGGCAGATAGATGAAGTATACTGCTGAGGGGAGCAATGGGAAGGTCAGGAGAGGTCTTCCGTGCTGTGTGGATCATCTCCTGGGCTGGGATCGAACTCATGCTGAAGTGGCTTTAGCTTCTTAGTACTGTGCTTTAACCCACTGCACTACCAGGAAGGGCCCTACAAATGTAACAGGGCCCTATTACTGTCTTTTATTAATTCCTTCTTGTTGAAGATTTAGACTATTTTAAAATTTTAACAATTTAAAAAATTTTTTGCATTACTTAGTTTCTCAAATATCATTTAAAATTTGAAAGTTTTACTAACTTTAATAAGAATTATTTGACTATGTGTATCATTCCATAGAAATATTAATTACAGAACTTTTTTGTTTATTTTTGTTATAGACTAGAGAATTCAAATTTGTAAATTTTATTACACGGAATTTTAAACACATTCTAGAAATTTTGAGAATTTGCGAATCTTTAACCTAAAAGTTTGCTGATTTTACAAACAGATTTTACAGAGTATTTACGATTTAGAAACCAAGGTTTCAAGGGTTAAGAGTTTTAATTAGCTTTAATGAACAAAAGGGAACTATCTCTGCCTGAAAGATCCATTTTCATTGAGAGAAACAAATCTGATCTCAATATAAAGCAGACCAATTTTACCTGAATGGAAAAGAAACACTAAATAAGAATGGAACATTATGTGTGTTCAAATCAGATGAATTCAAATAAATTGTAATAAAGATCTTTAAATTAAGCTTTAGTATCAATAGTATACTTAAACAAGATCTGCTAAGAGGACAAAAGTATTCTTGCTGTGAGCAGTTTCTTAATAAAGATTATAAACCATTTAAACATGAGGTGCTTTAAGTTATCTTTACTATCAAGGCCATCATATAGCTAAGAGAAATCTAGTCCTGTCAGCATATCATTGAGCTGAGTATACATACATCAGCAAAGATGTATATTTGCTCTTAAAATATTTAACATCAGTCTGCAAGCATGAGTCCAGGGACTCCAAACTGTTAAGAGGTACACATTTAGCCACACAAAGGCAAAGAAAACATATCTTCATATGAAAGACCTTTAATAGAATTGGTACGTGTAGAGAGAGAAGAAAGGATTTAGTAGAATTGGTATGGAGAGAGAAAGGAATTCAAGTAACAAATTCCCAATAAAACTTTGAAAATTAAACCATGCACCTATTGGTAAGAGGCTTGGTCCATAGCAGATTGACTGAAATCCAAAAGGGTGTCATAAACTTGAGGTACCTTCTGGAAGGGAATCACAAAAAAGGAATTAGGCAGGTTCCAGGACTGGGACAGAGGAGAGAATGAAAAATCAAAACTTACCACATACCCACTATGAGATCATGATGGTAGCTGCCACTGTCTCTGTCAAGGACCAGACGCAGCCTTTACATGTATCTTTCACCCACTAGCTAGATAATTTTGGGAAGCCATTTATTTATAGGATTGCCTCTAGGAATTGGCCACAAATGTTTAGCTGAATTGAGCTATTCTAAAAACAAAGGGACTCGTCTATCATCCTAAATTTTTAAAATATGGAACTTAGAGAACTTCCAAAGGTAAGAAATTGTAAGATCAGTTTCCCCAAAAGGATCAGTTAGGTTTTTCTCAGTATGGATCAAATGGACTCTTTAGAGTAAATATCACCTTGATATGGGGACTAAGCACCAATTAAGATCCTGTGAGCATCTAGAAGTCTATTGTCATTTAAAGCATGTAAATTATTTTATGTTAAGAGTGATGAAAATCCTAGAGATTGAACACAGTGTTTTGTTTTGTCTCCCTCTTCTTAATACTTAAAAAAAAGTAGTTTGGGAGGTATCATCCAGGTGTAGGTGTATCAGTGAACATGTCCTTCCCACCCGAGAAACACATGTTTTTACTCTCTCAGAGTAAAAGAATGAGATCACCCTCTTACCCTCTTGTTAGCTAGTGAAATCTCCCAATTTTTCTCTCCTTAATTAAGATCCCAAGTTCTTAAACAAGGGATAAATTTATATTCCTGGTTTGCCTCTTTTTTTTTATAAATGCTTTTATTTTGTTTATTTTTATTTTTGCATAGAAGAATTTGGGTATAGACCAGAGGTGTAGGGGCTGAAAGGCTTCACCAGAGACAGAGTGGGGAGCAAACAGACTGACTGAAATACACTACTGAGAGAAGCAGTGGACGGGTCATGAGAGGTCTGTGTGCCATATGTGGGTCAGCTCCCTGGTCAGGATGAACTCAGACCAAAGCATTGACAACTGGTAGTGAGGGAGTGTTTGAGGCTTAACCCCTGTCACCAAGGAGTCCAGCTGGTTTGCCCCATTTTTAGAATTTATGGACATGTAAATTCTCTATAAGTATGTTGTTAAATTGTGATTCCTTCTACCCTCCGCCCAATTCCATCCACCCTCATAAAAACTTAGATGGAGTGGGGGAATTTTCTTCTGGCACTCAGCAAAACTAATACTGCTGAATATGGTGATGAATTATTAGTCGTTGTGTTGTATATTCTTGCTATTGCTAAGGCAAAAAGGAAATCATTCCAAATGCCTCTGGGTTCTCATGGGCTGGCACCAGACAGAGTGACAGATGAGAAAAACACTTGAAAGAAGTTTAACAATAAACATGTACACTTCCTGGACATATAGGAGAGACCCTTAAAGACTCAGTAACTCCCGTCACCCAAGTTTTCAGATGTTATCTCAAATACCTTAGCTAAGGTAGAGAAAGCTGGGGAGAGGGAAAAGTCAGTTATGGGAGGATGCCAGAGAAGGCACAGTAAACAAAGGTGTAACTCTTACACAGATTTAAATTCTGCTCCAATACCGGTTAAAGTTCAGCACTACAAAGCTACCAGCAGCCCCTTCAGTGTGAGTTAGATCCCCAGCCCCAGAGGTGATCTACATGGCACAGCAAACCTCTCCTGATGTACCTGCTGCTCCCCTCAGCAGTATACTTGGTCAGTTTGCCTGTTCTGCTCCCCACTCTGTCTCTGGTGAATCTTCTCACCACCCCTGCACCTTGGCCTGTACCCTAGTTCTGTATGCATAAATAAATCTTTAAAAATCAATAAGTAGGGCCCTCCCTGGTGGCGCAGCGGGTTAAAGCACAGCACTAAAAAGCTAACGCCACTTCCACATGAGTTCGATTCCCGCCTGCCCGGGAGGAGATCCACATGGTGAGGCAGACCTCTCCTGACCCGCCCGCTGTTCCCCTCAGCAGTGTACCTCGTCGATCTGCTTGTTCTGCTCCCCTCTCTGTCTCTGGTGAACCCTCTCACCCTCCACATCTCTGGCCTGTACCCCAGTTCCATATGAATAAATAAAAAAAATCTTTAAAAAATCAATCAATAAATAAATTCTGCTCCACTGTAAAGAGCTAAAGAAATTAGGTTTTCTAGTACAGATACCCTAATATAGAAAACTCTTCTTCTGTAAATGTAATTATTTCTTTCAAAAGGGCAACTTCTACCCAGTCTACAGAGTCCCTCTTATGAGATAAAATTTTTTGCAAAGGCATACTTTAAGATGGCATATTCTTTCTATCCTACAGAGTTATATAGCTCTCTTGACCACAATCAAAACATTTTCATAAGTTAACACTCTGAAGTACAATAGCACAGTGTTGCAATATGCCCTTGTCTTAAAGCAGTTTCCTTTCAATGGACAGTGTTTAAAAGTTATCAGGTTCATATCATTTTCACTGTTATTTTTAGCAGCAAAATTAGTAGTAGTATCACCGTTATTATCTTATTATGATCTTAGTATTATTGCATTTATTTATTGAACACCTACTATGTTCCAGATAATCAACTTGCACATCATATTAATTCTAGAAGCAGCCATACATGATACTACTATTCCTATTTTAAGATGAAGAAAGAGATAGAAAAATTTCTCCAAGTCACATAGCTAGTAAAAAAGGGAGCCAGATTTCATCTTAGATGTGCTGACTTGCTGTAGGTAACCATTACACCACCTCACATTAAGGGAAAATCTCAGGGGCTGTCACCTCCAAATCAGACTTTCCACACTGAACCAAGCGCCTCTTGTTTAATGTTGCTATTTCTCCTCTCCCCTGTTCCCCCCACATCTACTTCTCCTTTCTCTCCTTCTCCTTTCTCACTTCCTAATACTCTAAAAGAGTAGAATTTTAGAGTACATTTTCCTGTGCTCTAAAAGCACAGATTGGTAAACACAGGTTAACTGTATAGAAGGCTCCACTCAACTGATTATTAATGGATGAGATATATTCATGTGTGACACTTTCAGAATGTGATATTGCAAGTTAGATAAATGAATGGCTCTATGAAACTGAGGACAGAGGACTCTCCTGGGAGCAATTTCCACCTAACAGCTATGGGATTGAGCTTTAATTAAGTTAGGGATGCTGTGCTGAAAGGCAGGGTTGAGTGAATAGGGCAGTAACACTGTGCCAAATGACAAGTGAAGGGATTGCTTAAACGTCTCTTGTGGAGAAATAGATTTCAAAGCCCACAGTGCAGTGCCTTCTAGTTGCCATTTTGAACATGGATTCTCCCAACTGGCTAATTATAAGTAATAAATTGCTGAAAAGATACCTAGCAACTATAATCTGGTTCTTTATTTCAATACAAATGGAAACTGAAAATATGGCTTCTATGATGAATTTACCATTTATTTTTGAAAAATTGTAAGACCTGATGGAAAAGTTTGAAAACTAAGCCATGACAGCGGAAATTCATATTTGAGTCATGTGTAACAAACCACATACTCAAATAAATCTATACAACACACAATTATTTGAAAAAATATGGTTCATTCAAACCTACAGGCTTACTTCTCTGTTGCATTAACCTCCTCTGTGCTAGTACTCTATCTTAAACCTGAGTTTGTGCTTTCCGTATTTCTCATAGGACTAAACAGTCTTTCACTTCCTTCTCAGAACAGTTCTCTCTGCAAAAAGATCCTAGAATACTTGAGCTGCTATACCAGTATCCAGCCAAACCTAGAAATGAAAAGTAGCAGAGGGGTGAGCAATTTGTATCCTTGAGGCTGCTGAAATGGCCCCAAGAAGCTATTTTCTTGATGCTAGAAATCTCTGTATACTGATTCTTATAATCAGAAACTTACACAAGTAAATGGCATTCATAAAAAATAAGTCCAAACAGTAAGTTATTCAGACTAATTCATTATTACTACTTCCTATGCTAGATTAAGCCTGAGGATTATAGAATTCCTACTAGAGAAAAGATCTCTAATTTTTATATTTCTTTATAAATCATATTCATGCACACATTTTATATTTAGCAGTGATTGATTCTTTATAAGCTTATAAAAAGTACTTTATAAGCCTAGATTAAATAAAAAGACTAACTCATAAAGAATAGTAAGTTTAACAATGGTCCCTGAAAATACAGACTGTTGGTTTCTTTGCTAAATAATACATCTAGCAAAGTTAGAAGTTTTCAATGTTCTGCCATGCATAGAAGTGCCAATGAGTCTATTTTGTTCAGACAGAACAAATTACAAGTATTTATGAAGTTTAGAAATAGAGATTCCAGTTTTATGCTATTACTCTTAGTACAGTAACAGCAACAAAAAACTTGTAAGATAGCCAATCAGAAGTTTAGTTCCCTTTTGAGATTATCAAAGAACACACCAACAACTAATAAAGTCTTAGAGCCTTGTAAAGCTTTCAAATCATACTTTCAAATATAGATTTATTTCAATGGAAAATAAAACAACTTAGCAATGAATATAAATATTCATACATGTTTCTCTCAAACACAAGAAAATGAAAATACATAGTGAAAAGTCTCAATTTAAATCTTCTCAAATCAAATTCTCTAAATTAAGTTTAAGCTGCAAAACAGCTAAAAGATACAAGAAAGAAGAGATATCTCTTTTGTCTCTTTTTACACTCCCTTTCTAAGTAAGGTCAGATTCCGAAATGTAATTAGTGAGGATTATAAGGAGATGAGCGAAGGAAGAAAAACAAAATGTAGACATCCACTTAAAAAGCTGAGAAATGGGCTAAATAGGATTTTGTTCAAGAAGAGTGGTCGCTGGCCCTCCCTAGTGGTGCAACAGGTTAAAGTGCAGCACTATGAAGCTAGCCACAGCCACTGCGGAAGAAGTTCCATCACAGGCCAGGGTGGTGACCCACATAGTGTGGCAGACCTCTCCTGTCCCACCCACTGCTCCCCCTCAGCAGTATATTTCAGTACATATGCCTATTCTGTTCCCTTTCCCTGTCTGTGGTGAATCCTCTGACCTATACCCAGTTTTCGTGTGCATAAATAAATAAATCTTTAAAAAAAAAGAAGAAGAAACAGAAGACCCATCTGCTCTAAAGAAAACAAGAAAAAAATCATTAATTGTAAGTTAAATGATGACATTGTTTTTTAGTACTTTGAGTTTTAACATGCCCATGTATTGATCAAAAGGTATCAATTTCTCCCTATGCAAGTTGTAAACTGTTAGGTTTTTGTCTTTTCTTCCCTAGTGATACCTTCTGCAACCACAATTTCCAGGGCTGAAGATTTAAACACCACAGTGCCCAAGACCATAATTCACTGGAATAGTCAATCAACAATTGAAAAGTTTTCCTGTGAAATGAGATACAAAGCTACGACAAATCAAACTTGGAATGTAAGCTTTCACTATTCTTTAGCATGTAAGTGAAAGAAAGGTCAACCATCTGTGGTTCCGGTGGACTTAAAAATTATCTATTTTACACATTTTTATCTGATATCTTGTATTATATTTAAACCACTCCAGTTTTAATAATAATTGCCACATGATTCCAAACTGAGAGCTCTTTCCTGAAATAGTTCTTCTATTGTAAAGTGCTAAGTAGATAAAAGTCCAACTAAGAGGGTCCATCTACTTAGTTCCTTATAATTCAGTGTCTCCTATGGTGAGCTTGATATCAGTGATCATGAGTATAAGATTTAAGGAATCTGTGCTGCAATATGCAGGTGGCTAGGGAAATAAAAACTGCTCAAAAGAACTTAGATTTATGATTGTCTCTTTTTAAATGAAAGATGTGCAACTCAAAATGTAAAATTTGTTACTAGTATAGGCCTCAGTCTTAAATGGACATAGGGGGAAAATGAATACCTAAAGTTAGAACAGCCTTAAATTCTTTTTTTTTTTATAATATAATAGTTTGTTTTTACATCATTTTGTACATTTTTTTTTCATCTCAATTGTAATCCCCGTGGGTTTCCCATCACCAAGTCACCCATGTGCCATCACCATAGTCAGAACAGCCTTATTCTAAGGAAAGTTATCAAGTGTTTTAGGAGCTCAGGTGTAAGGTTCAGTAATAAAATCACAGCAGTGACAGCAGCTGTGAACATTATAAGAAAAACTCACTAATTGAACTATTGAAAAACACTGTCTGAGAAAAAAAACTCCAATTTTTATGCATTTGAAAAGAACTGTCGTTTTATTATTTTCAAGTATAATAGACTGTTTAGTTCATCAAAATAACTTAGTGATGGAGTTTCTGGCTTTGTTTTACTAAGAGTTATATATCATGTACGAGTTTACAAAATGACATATATGTAACACTAGGACATATCTAATTTAATTTTCCTTTGATTAGTATGACTTCTTCAAAGGCTTCCTGCTTCAAGATCATCATCCTGAACATCATTTTGACTAAAGAACAGTCTATTTAAAGAGAGTCAAAAGATGGGGTAAAACTAAATTGATTTCATGACCTCCACTGAAAACTATGCTTTAAAAGTAAATGGATATCAATTGATTTACCGCATGTAGATTTATCACCTACATCAGAAATGTAAACGTTATAGTTTGTTTTTTTTTTTTTAATTAAACTTAGCATTAAATCCCTGTTCTGCATCATTTGGTTAGTAACCTAGTGAAGGGCCAAATACACTCTTGGACTTAACTTTACTTATTAATTCATGCTTAAAGCCTACAACAAACAGGATAAAAGTAAAACACAACTTTTGCATATGTGGAACTGAGGTAAATTTGGAAACAGCCAACACATGAAATTCTCTTAAGTCTTAGAATTTGAATTAATGGGGCTATACTCTAGTAGGACATCTGGGGACGACCTTATGCAGTGTCACCATCACAGGATAATACTGAAAATATGAAACTCCGTTATTTGGCATAAATAGAAGGAGGTAGTAAAGTATGAGAGTGTTTTAAAAATAGAAATTACAGTATCTCCAAATAGGTTTTCAGAAACTTGCAGTTTTTTGATTGAAACTCGTTCTCTGCTCCCCCTGGCGGTGTATATCTCGCAGAGTGAGATGTAATAATGGAATTTAGCTCACTTTTCAAGACTTCCTATTAGAAGCAGGCAAAGGAAGGAACTGAAAAAATACTTGTTATCTCATCACAAATCTTTTGGTATTATCTTCATAACAATCCTTTGGGATAGATGGTATCAGTTCCATCTCAGAAGTGAAAATGTAGAGCTCAAAAAAGTTCAAGCCAGATTTCTGAAACGTACATGTTAGTAAATGTGTGCCTCTCACACACCACTTTGGGCACCCAAAAATTATTTGGAAAAATCAAAGGATAGATTTCTAGCCAAACCTATGTCCTCTCTTTTCTACCATGTTTCTTTCATATATAGCCACTCACCCAAAACAAGTTGAATTTCCATTTCTAGCCAGATGTCCCAAGTCCAGTTAGTAGTAGCTAGATGAAGCTTTGCTTTTCACCTTTGCTGCTGCTCAGTTTTATCTAGGTGACACATTAAGTGTTGCCTTTGTTGGGAGACAGGAAGTCAGAGTCAAGAAGAGTGGGAGGACATCGAGAACTACAGATTGGTTCTTCCAACTCAGTTTTGCCTCCATCAGATATTGCTGGAGGGAGGTTGGTTGCTTCAAAGTGTCAGACAGCTAAACAGGAAAACTTTGTGGTTAAGAGCACAGGTGCTAGAGTTCAAAGCCTGTTGCTGCCTCATTCTAATTGTGCAAACTTGGTCAAGTTTATTATCATCCTTATCTTCTCAGACCCTCATTATTCCTGTACCTAAAACAGGAATGAGATAAAGACCTACCTCTATGGTTATGTGATATCAAATGCTTTAAGAAGCTAGCCAGGAGCCTGCATTAATTACTATTCAACCAAAATTGGTTATTATGCTTCATTTTAACCTCTAAGGAGACAGATGTGGTAGAGCAAGGAAGTCCACCTGGAAATTAAAATCACTTGAATAGAGGTTGTTTTTTAATCACATTCAGCTAAACTGCATATAGACAACAAGGTGCTGAGGAAACAGCCAGTCTGGCAGGATATCCTGCAAGGTTGATACCGAGAGGAAAGTATTTATCTACTTGGTTATCTTCAAAGGCTGTCACCTTAGAACCTCAAACTTGTGTCAAAAAAATTGAGTTTGCAAGCCTCAACAACAATCCTTGCCCACTTCCATGTACACCTTACCCTGTTGTATTTTCTTAGCTGTTTACACAACAATTTCTCCATCTATCAATCATGAGCTCCAGGAGGGGAGGGTGGCTCATAATCATCTTTGTACCTTCATTGATTTTTACAATGTGTAGTTTATGTAGAAAATGTTTTTAAACAATAGCCATTATTATTATTATTTGCCTTTAATGGTACCCAATAGTAGAGATAGTAACAAGGGTCTTGGCTGAGAATTTAAATAAATTGAAGAAGGGTGATTAATTTTTCTAATTAAGCTGGAGCAGCTATTGGCAAACTTTCCATTCATAGGCCAAATAGCAAACATTTTAGTTTTTATGGTCTATAAGATCTCCATTCCAGATACACAGTTCCATATATGTAGCTGCCAGACATTGTGTAAATGAATGCACATGGTTACCTTCTATAAAATATTATTTTTAATATGAAAGTTGGATTTTATATCATTTTCCATCCATTATGAAATAGTATCCTTTTTATTTTATTTCAACCATTAAAAAATATAAAAACCATTCTTAGCTCTCTAAAACCTTTTCCAGGAAAGCTTAATGGAAGAGGTTGCTGGATAGCAAAGGGTGAAATCCTTGGTTTTGCATTTCAAAGTATAAATCTGTTATAACACAGAGGACTTGGAAGATCATGTGAGTAAATACTGCCAAATTTACCAATCACCACCTCTCTTCCTCCACCAAACACTAAGTACAGATTATATGAGCAGAGAAAGGAGGGATTGCAGGTAATTAGGAGTAACCAAAAGAATTTAGACAGTGGTGCTTCACTGCAGGTTGTGGTGATTAAAGAAGTCTCTTAATAGCCTGGAAATTGTCTTTCCCACCACCCAGGAATGCTCCCAACCTTAACTGTAACCCCAAGAAAAGAGGTACCACACACTGATAGAGCTTAAGCTTTCATGTCCTCACTTTCAGAATTGAAGCTACTATTAGCAATTAACTGTTGTGAAAAATAAAGTCATATTTGCATTTGAGATCATATAGCCTCCACTATACCCTCAATTAGGCCTATCTCTGTGTTCATTTTGCTGTGGAAAACATTATCTTGAGTTATACAAAACCCTGAGAAGTCACCTGCCTTGCTTCTTGGTAAAAACAACTCCACTAACAGTTAAGTAAAATTCTTCCTTCAATTTTGGAATTCTGTCTCTGCTTTAGGATATTTCTCTTCTGCAAAAGGACTTATCTATAAAGCACAAAGGCATACTGGAGAATAACTTCCTTATGAGAAAGCTACTATGAAGCAGATGCATTCTCTTCATATTCCAGAAAGTCAAACTTCAGGCACAAGTAAAATCTCTCCTGAACCATAGAAAACTCTAGAAGTTACCAATAATATTTACACTCGTGGGTAGAAACGTGGCTTATGGAAATTATGAAAGGTGCCTTTCCAGGACCATGATATCTCCAAAACAGATATTTCTTGAATTTTACATTTGCATGTATTGCAAGCTTTAAAAATTTATGTTTAGATTGGGTTTTAAGAGAAAAATCCCTTTTGGAGATAAATAACTTGTTTGTTTCTTTTTTAAATCTTTGTGGTTTCAACATTCTCTTTTATGAATGGTAACTGCACTGCTAGATATATTTTATGTTTATTTTTCAATTGTGCTTCAATTTTCTAATAAACCCACTTATTCCAACATTGGGGAGGTGCTGTATAAATGTCTTGGCTTCTCCCATCTGAACCAGTTTGTTTGGGGCTAGTTTTTCAGTATACTGTATAGCCAGCTTAGTGCCCCCCAAAAAGATTTGTACATTTAAAACTCAGCTATTTTCTTGCTTATGTTCCATTGGGTTTTAAATGTTTTATTTTCACATATACACAAATATAATTTTATATATTGGCATTACAGAATTTGCATAAATTTGCAACAAGGACCAGTTTAATAGCTTAACTTATAAGTATTTTTGGCTATAACAGTCATCATTAACAAGTAAAATTACTTTATCACTCAGGAAAATTATTGATCTAAATATCCAACTGCAGAGAAAGAGAAAGATGGGAGAGACTGGACTCAAAAAGTTGCTAATAGATCCTCCACTGCTGACATCCATTATGAATATATTACATTTTGGACTTTCTTGAGATTTAAAAGCTTGAGGGTGCTGTCAAACACAAAGCAATATGCATTTCAATTTTAAAGTTAAAAATCATTCTAATTATTGATGGCCATGTTTTATGCAAAATACCATATATCCCTTTTTATTGTCTAAAGATCTAGAAGAATGCCTGGAATTTATGTTACTCCAGACATTTCTGCTAAATGGAGTGACTGTATCATTTCATAATGATTATGCATCCATTTTAGGTGAAAGAATTTGACACAAATTTTATACGCATGCAGCAATCAGAATTCTACTTGGAGCCAGATACTAAGTATGTATTTCAAGTGAGATGTCAAGAAACAGGTAAAAGGTACTGGCAGTCCTGGAGTTCACCATTTTATCATAAAACTCCTGAAACCGGTGAGTGCATTTATATATAAGAGTTTCATTTTGACCTCTGTCTCTCTTCTAAGTATTTGTATTTTTTCTTTGACTTCTATAAAAACTGACAAAACTATTCTAGAACATGTGGTAATATATTGCTTTGTGTGTGCTAAGGCTGATTACAATTTATGTAACTGTTTTCAAAAAATCCTGGGCAAAATACCACCTGGGGGTATTTGCTTAATACCTGGGTCTGGGTCTGTGGGGTGGTGAGGATATTCAAAACTCAACATTTCTTACAAAAACACTGGGTCATTGTGAGACACAGAATAATTAAAATTTTTGCTCAGAAAAACAATGAGTTTCATTAAATTATTTAGTCCATTCTGATTAAATGTATTCTAGAGAGACATAAATCGCATCATGTTAATAAACATTGAATATATACTACATGCAAAGCAATCGTGAAGAGTTAAAACACTTAAACAGAGGATTACATTCTCCTTTCAATAAAATTTAGCTGACCTAGTTTATCTTTAGATAGTTCCTTCTTAATATTATTAGTTTAATTTTATACTCATTTTACATATGTAATTCAATAAAATATTAATCAAATAGAAGTCAGTTGTAAGTAAATAATAAAATGAACCTATTATAATTGTCCTAATAGTCCACACTGACCCTGTAATCTGAAATTGCCTACTGCACAGTAGCTTATATATTAGATTTAAATTTTTTTCTTTGGAGCTGAAGGATTTAATTATAATCGCAGTATTATTAAATTGCATTTATTATAACATATAATCTTGCATTTGTGTTTTATGTTTTCAAAACACTTTGACATACATTCTAAATATTGATGAACACCAATTAAGTACTTAGAGCCTAGTGGCAAAACGCTCCAAAAAGTTCTTTTGGCGCCCCCTGGTGCCTAAATTTTAGAAGCACATTATTAAGAGAATTGCTTATAATCCTTACAACACCCAGTATCATCTCTTAAAGTTCTAAATTTAAAGTATTCTCTCTTAAGTTGATGTTAAAAATTCATAGGAATTTAGATGCCACCTTATAGTAGTCAGGACTTAGCAATGCAATTACTTTTAAATGAAATCTCGAATTGTCTAGCAAGAGTTGTTATTCAAATTGATGTCATCCAAATTGATAACTAACATTTACTTACGACTTACACAATACTACTATGCATAAGCTTGTTTGATAATTGCATCAAATATATTTGATAATGTAATGGCACCACCTTACAACTGAGAAAACTAAACATTGCTGGTGGGTAATAGCACCAAAACTAGAACACAATTTTCATACTATCAGCCCTCAGCAAATTCATCAATTTCTTTCTTTAACCTGTTACATCAAAGTGGACGAGCTTACCACAGTATTTTGCAAGTATAGGTTCACAACAGTTCTCCTTTAAAAGTAAATTTTTAGATATCAGCTAACAGAGAAAAGGAACATGACAATTTCCTTTTAAGTCTAAATTTAGTTACTGCTTCTAAGGAAAACTGTCACTTAATAAGCAAAAAATATCCTTAAAAACTTGTATCTATCCAAATTTAAGATGTTAACTGAGAGGAATCACATACTTTCTCTTGGTATAAATTTTTTTGTAAGACACATTAAGTGTTTACCACTTCTTTATCTGTTTGCAAAATGTAAATTTATTGTAAAATACAACCTGTACATAACTACTGTCTACATTTTAAAAAATTTATTTATGCACACAAGAACTGGGGTACAGGCCAGAGGTGTGGGGGTATAAGAGAATTCACCAGAGACAGAGTGGTGAGCAGAACAGGCAGATCAAGTGAAGTACACTGCAGAGGGGAGCAGCGGGCATGTCAGGAGAGGTCTGCCACACCATGTGGATCACCTCCCGGGCTGGGAATCAAACTTGCATTGCACTGACTGCGGACAGCTTCATAGCTTTGCACTTTAACCCATTGCATCATCAGGGAGGGCCCTGCCATCTACATTTTTTTTTTTAAAGATTTATTTATTTGTGCATACAGAACTGGGGGTACAGGCCAGAGGCTCAGGGGCGGTGAGAGGCTTCACCAGAGACAGAGTGGGGAATAGAACAGGCAGATCGACGAAGTGCACTGCTGAGGGGAGCAGCGGGCAGGTCAGGAGAGGTCTGCCACACCATGTGGTCACCTCCGGGGCAGGTGGGAATTGAACTCATGCGGAAGCAGCTTTAGATTCTCAGTGCTGTACTTTAACCCGCTGCGCCACCAGGGAGGGCCGCCATCTACATTTTAATGAATTTAATACCAGTATCTTTCTAATGTACATTTTTTTTCAATGATTGGTACTATGATTTCATATTCTGATTGAGCTTTTAAAAGCTTATGGAATGTCTGCACAGCATTCCAGTTTACAGAATTACATAGTTTATTTAACCATTTTCGTACTTAAATAATATCTAGTTTATTCTATTTTTTCATTATCAATAAATTTCTTTGAATAGCTTTGTATATAAATTCTCCTGTCTTTGGGTCTTACTGGATCAAGAAATAAATACATTTTAAGATGGCTGATACAAGTTACCAAATTGCTTTTTAGTAAATGTTTAAAATCAATTGCTTTTAAAAAGACATCCATGAAAAGCCATTAATGAAATATTAATTTTTTTAAAGATTATTTTTATGCATGTAAGAACTGGGGTGTATGCCAGAGGTATGGGCTGGGGGTGAGAGAATTCACCAGAGACAGAGCAAGGAGCGGAACAGGCAGATGCATTGAAATATACTGCTGAGGGGAGTATTGGGAGAGACAGGAGAGGTCTCCTGCTCCATGTGGGTCAGCTCCCTGGCAGGGATAGCTTCATAGTGCTGAGACTTTAACCCCAGTGCCCCAGGTAGGCCCTGAAATATTAATTTAGCGTCATGTACCAAGCACCTATCAGTGTCTTTAGTAGTTGCAGAACCTCAATAAGCAAGAGGAAAAGATCCCTTAATTCTGGAGAAGACAGTCAATAAAAAAGCAAATGACATGACATTTTACAGATATAAATAAAAGCAATAAGAATCAAACCTTACAATTGAAGTTTGAATTGTTTCACAATTGAAAAATAAAAATACATAGTTTCTATAGTTTCTATAATGTTTTCATTAACCAACTTACTTGATAATAGGGCATTTTAGCCAGCTATACTAGTAATTAAGGGTTTATTTATTCATGAAGAAACATAACTCACAAAAATTGTCCATCAATGCAGGAATTTCCTATTCTATTCTATAAAATGTTTAAGTTTGTATCACTGAACTGAGTTATCTCAAAATTCTGTCCAGATGGCAATACAGGGCATAACATGAAGTCAGTGTGGCTCATCCTTCAAAACCGCATCCTTTTGTCTCACATTCCCACTAGGTGATTGCCTGTCCCTGACCTTTAAAACACTGAGCCCCAAAGAAGCCAATTCACTCATTCACAGTAAGGGTTAAATGACCTCCAAGACTTCTTCATTTTCCCTCTTAAAAATATTTAGACAGGCCCTCCCTGGTGGCGCAGTGGGTTAAAGCACAGCACAAAGAAGCTTAAGCCACTTCCCCATGAGTTCGATTCCCGCCTGCCCCGAGGAGATCCACATGTCGTGGCAGACCTCTCCTGACCCGCCCGCTGCTCCCCTCAGCAGTGTACTTCGTAGATCTGCCTGCTCTGCTCCCTGCTCTGTCTCTGGTGAATTCTCTCACCCTCCGCATCTCTGGCCTGTACCGTTCTGTATGAATCAATAAAATCTTAAAAAAATATATTTAGACATTAGTGGAAAACAAAACCTTATATTAAAAAAGAAAGGGGGAGTAATCAAACTGTCAGACTTTAGTAAACACATCGTTTTTCTGACTTAGAGGCTCATTATTTTCTATGCTGGTATATTAAGAAGAAACAAATTAAGTGGCTCCAGAGTGACTTGAGAATAAGTAACAGTAGTTAACATTTAAGGATGGTAACTATGTAGTGAGCACTGAGATAAGTGTTTTACATATAAATTACCTTATGTTTATCACTGTAGCCTTATAAAAATGAATGTAAATATTATTATAATTGTGCAGATAAAGATGGTGATGCCCAGGAAGAATAAGCACTTTTATGAAATGTTATGAAGACAGTCAAGCTAGGTAGAGGTGGGGCATATGCAGGCTGGGATTCTAGCACTCGTACTGGCTCTGTCAGGCTTTTTCCTAAGATATTTAGGAAGGACCTATATCATTCCCATGACTTGCTCCTCAGTCACCTAACAAAATCCTCCTCTACCCATTCACTAATACTAAAACTATGCCAACAGTTTCAGTTTTACTGTAATGTTTGTAATGAAAATGCAAACACAAGGGAAAAGAGGGAACCATGAGATACTATGCCTACTTTGGCACAAAGACAAATTGTGGGGAAAGATTTGGCTTAAGGAATAGAGGATGGAGCCATAGAACTCCAGAAACCTGGGGATACAATAGAGCAGTTTGGGATGAGGATAAAGTGTAGGTGGGAAAGACAGACTTGCCTAAGACAAAACCAACACAGGGCAATTCATAATGTGTTTTCCAGCTGGTCCTGTTCCAGTAAAATATTAGAAAGCAGTGCTTCTCAGAGTGGAGTCTGTAGACCATCTGCACTAAAAATACTTGGACACTACTTAAAATTCAAATTCTCAGCTTCTAACCAAGTAATATTCTTCAATAAAGTATAATAATCACTGCTCTAGAGATTAGACATACCTTGTAGGAAGGACAAGTGTCAGGAAGAACAGTATAAGGTGTGGCAGGGAAGGTGGACATAAAAGGAGATCTGAGCCTTTATTGTGGCACAGGGGGTTAAGACTCAGCACTATGAAGCTACCTGTAGCCATTGCAGCTGCTGCCAGAGTTTGATCCCTGATCAGGGAGCTACACACATGTCGCAGCAGACCTCTCCTGTCTTGCCTGCTGCTCCCCTCAGCAGTATATTTCACTTAATCTGCTTGTTCTGTTCTCCACTCTGTCTCTGGTGAACCTCTTACCCCTGCACCTCTGGCCTACACCTCA